CGAATTTATATATGAAGGAAATGGTTTCAACTAACAAACCAAGATGGCAATGAAATGCTCAGATTGTGACAATATTTTTCAACCAACGAAGGAACAAAAATATCCATGCTCAGCGTGTGATGGATGCAGAAGACTTTATTGCAATCAATGCTCCGAATTATCATCATCAGAACTAAGATGTCTGCCTCTACGTACGAGACTATTGAAATTCTTATGCAAAAAATGTAGGAATCATGAGCTGACTGATTACCTTAAGAACATTATTGCAGATAAGGATGAAATAATAAACAGTAAAAATGAAATAATAAGCATGCTCCAAGAAAAAATCAAACTATATGAAGAAAAAGGGAAAAGTATGCCTATTATGTCTTATGTTGATGCAGTCAAATCAAATCCTATTGATCATGAGAGGAAAATCAACTCACCCAAAGTGATTGTCAAGCCGAAAGCACCACAAGATGGTAATAAAACAAAATTAGATCTAACCCAGAAAATCAATCTTATTAACCTGAAAGTAGGGGTCAAACAAATTAAGATGGGCAAAAGTGGTTCTGTCATACTATCTTGTCAAACAAAAAAAGAAACTGAAATTTTAGAGAAAGCGGTTCAGGATGAGTTGAAAGATAACTACAATGTCGAACTAACCAAATTGAGGAAACCCAGAATAAAAATTTGCAATGTTACTGGAAATATGACTACAGATGAAATAGATAAATGCATCATGGAACAAAATGAAATAACAAATGGTATAAAAACGACTTACATCAAAAAAACTAAAAATGGCGTCAATACTATTTACTGTGAGTGCTCGGCAGCAGCTTTCAATCAAATAATGCTCAAGAAGAAAATATGCATAGGCTGGGAACGATTTCCAGTATATGAAGATCTAGATATTCCCCGATGTTTTAGATGCCAAGGATTCTACCATAAACAAGAAAACTGTAAGAATGTAGTTGCTTGCTCCACCTGTAGTGAAGAACATGAAGACAAATTCTGTCCCAAGGATAAGACATGGTGTAAAAATTGCCAAATTTCAAACGACAAATTCAAAACCACATACAAATGTGATCACTCTGCATTAGACCTGAATTGTCCCTCTCTGAAGTATCACAAAACAGTATTGCAGAATAAAACAGCCTATACAGAATAATTTTTATAAAGCAATGATCATCGATCAAGAAAATGATTTATTGAATTCTATCCATAGTGATATAATTAATGAATCTGTTGATGCATCGGAGATATCAGGCAAAATTAATATAAATGACAAATTATTGAATATCATACATCTCAACATCAGAAGCGTTAAAAAGAATTTTGATGGACTACTTTTATTTTTAGAAAGTTTTAATATTACCTTCTGTGATGTGATAGTACTATCAGAATGTTTTCAGTTGGATTCAACCTCTCAATTTAATTTACATGGTTACACTACACACTATAATGGAAGTGACATTAATAGAAATGATGGAGTGCTAATTCTAGTAAGATCACTACTCAATGCAGAAGTAAATACAAACAAACTTGAATTTTCAGAAGTTTGTATAAGCAAGATTAACTTAAAAATTAATCAGTTAACAGTTGGTATTAGTGCTGTGTATAGATCTCCTCAAACTTCTGTCCAATCATTTATTAGAGACATTGAAAATTATATACCAGAGTATTTGAACAGGAATATAGAAATATTGATAGGTGACATCAACATAAACTTGCTAGATACAACCAACCAAGCAACAAATGATTATCAAACTACTCTACACTCATTTGGATTATTATCTTACATCAATACTATCACGAGACCACAGACTAAGTCATGCATAGACCATATTTTTCTAAGGAACAATATAAAAACTAATAAGCTTGATTTCAACTCTTTCGTTATACATTATGATATGACTGATCACGACCCTATTATGATAAACATTTCACAGACCGATATGAAATCCACTGCTTCTGCAAGTAACTATAAAACTATAACTAAAATCAATACTGATAAAATTATAGAAATAATAAAAAATGAAACTTGGGAAAATGTCTGCAATGAAAATAACCCAGAAACAGCTACTAAAATCTTCTATGAAAAATATCTGAACATTATTGGAACATGTAAAAGTACTGAGATTATCAATACCAAACAACATAAAAAAATTAAACCTTGGATAACCAATGGCATCATCAACTCTATTAAAAGGAGAGACAAAATGAAGAAACAACTGTCGAAAAATCATAGCATTGAAAAAGAAAATGAGTATAAAGAGTACAGGAATAATCTAAATAAATTAATATCAAAAACAAAGAATAATTTCTATAAAGAGGAGATATATAAAAACAAAAATGATTTGAAGAAAACCTATCAATTAATATCTGAAGCGACAAATGATAGCATAAAAAAAAGTAATAATCAAATTCAAATTGTTAATGAACTAAATGAAGAATTCAACAATGATAAAGAAATGGCGAATTATTGCAATGAGTATTTTTCTTCCATTGGTCTAAAAATGTCCGAAAGAATCCCTAAATGTGATGTAGATTTTCCTATTATGGATAAAATAAACAAATCAATGTTTTTAAAACCGGTAAGCGAGAATGATGTTATTAACCATATAAATAGTTTGAAAAATAATAGTGCACCTGGATCAGACGGAATAACAGTGAAGCATTTGAAACTACTGCATCTTCACCTACTCAAACCTTTGAAACACATAATAAATTCAATTTTCGATACTGGAATCGTACCGAATCAATTTAAGAGCTCTGTAATAACTCCAATATTCAAGGCTGGTAACCCTAATACAATAACTAACTATAGGCCAATTAGTCTGATTAGTAATGTGGCAAAACTATTTGAGAAATGCTTGAAAGAAAGACTGATGAATTTTTTGAAAGTTAATAACATACTCCCAAAACAACAATATGGTTTTACTGAGGGTGTCAACTCAAGTGACGCAATGCATGAATTGATATCGCACATCGCCAATGAGATGAATAATAAAAATAAATGTATAAGTATTTTCTTGGACTTAGCAAAGGCCTTCGATACGGTACCACATCAAAACCTCCTAAACGTTCTTGAACAAAATGGAGTGAGAGGTACCGTGTTGAAGATCTTTGAGAGTTATCTCACCCTAAGAAAGCAAACAGTAAAGATTAGGGATACCATTAGTAAACCTGAAATTGTGCAAATTGGGGTTCCACAAGGCACAGTTTTAGGGCCCATACTCTTCAACCTATACATTAAAAGCCTAACTGACATTAATATTCAAGGCAAAGTTATATCATATGCTGATGATACTGTACTAACTTTCAGTGATAAAGACTGGGAAGGTGTGAGGAGACGCGCGATAGCAGGAATTAAACACGTCAAAAACTGGTTAGATACTAACAAATTGTCACTTAATGTAAATAAAACAAACTATATTGCCTTCTCTAAAACATCCGCAGATCGTCCTCACTTCAAAGAAATCATGTGTGATAATCTAACCTCTGCAATACAAGAGACTGAAACTACCAAATACTTGGGCATCATTATTGACCAAAACTTAAAATGGGACTATCATGTAATGTATATATCAAAAAAACTCAGATTCTTGATCTATCAATTCTTCCTCCTTAAGCAGTTTCTCAGTATAAGCCTGCTTATAACATTATATTACAGTTTAGTAGAATCTATTCTATGTTATGGAATCTTAGTATGGGGCGGCATGTATGACACAGCACTAAGGCCCTTAATGTTATACAAAATAAAATATTGAAGATTATTTATAAAAGAGACAGGTTGTATCCAACTCATTTAATAGATAATGAGAAAATTTCTAATATTAGATGTTTATTCATTTATACAGTATGTTGTCACCTGAAGAATCATGAATCCCTAAAAATTCCTATCGATCATAGTCATGACACTAGAGCTGTATCTAATATGCATATTGGAGTTGATAAGCCGAACAGTGAGTTTTTCAAAAATTGTGTGAACTATTTAGGACCCAAATGTTACAATACTCTACCGTTAGATATAAAATTGTTACAAAAATATAGATTCAAAAAGATCTGCAAAATACATATTTTCCAAAACTATTCGAAATTGTATAATAATATTTTCTTAGGATAATGTATATATTTTTAGTTTCTCTGTATACTCTAAAACATGTCATATAAACATAATATGAACAGTTCACCTCAATCTATTTCACTAAAATATTCATGTACATTTCGAACATTTCCATTCAAGACACATACAGGTGTGTTTTCACCTAGGTGTCATAATTTCTAATATATAGCTATAAAAATGCAAAACATATTGTAAAAATATATTATATAGATATTATATTCAAAAAAAAAAAAAAAAAAAAAAAAAAAAAAAAATAGTAATCATGGCCTGCTCAAAAATACCGAATGGGGATACCATTCTACAGGAACATTTTTACCAATGAATGCTCATAATTCCGAAACTTGACTAGTAAGGTGACAGGGTGAACCATTAAACAAAATAATTTGTGGATTGTCACTCATACTGGGATCACCCTGTAAAACTTTTGATAAGTGCTATGGAAAGGCCTCTTTGCGGCATTCAACTTGCGCATATTGTTTTTTTTTTCTCGATAGGAAAATAAGGTAAATATTATAGGAGTGGGACTCTTGAAGGATTCAAATTCAGTGCACGATACAAATGGAGGGGAAAGCTGTGTGGGCAGATTTCTTTAGTGGTTGGGAGATGTTTCCTCAACGCTTGCAAATACTGGTTTTACATTTTCGTGAATATTCATTTGAAGGGATTTGCTGCATCAACAATTTAAAAAAAATGTAGTCTATCAGAGATTCAGACTCAAGAGACAATAAGTGTAATTGAATAATTATTGTTAACTTCCAATTTTAGCGATTTGGCCTAAGAAATTGGTAAATGTTTGCCTGTGACGCAGATTTTCCAGTCCCAGTTCTCCAAATATAAAAATCATGATAAGCCACTGTTGTACATAATATAAAAAATATGTTTTTCATTTCAGTATCAATCAGGTGCATGTAGTACTTCCCGTCATGGACCAGAAGCTGAAAAAAATTATTATGACAGCATAATCATAGTACTGGAAACACTGGAAAAGTGTTTCAGCATACAACCCAAAGACTCAATACAATTAACTATGGAAGAAAACCAAAATTTAAAATGTTTACTCAAAGAAATTTGCACTTTTTTATGTACGAAAGGTTAGTGAACAATATGAAAAAATATCTTTTTATATCATTAAAAAAAATTAATGACCCAAGAACTTTGGTTTCATTATATTTCCAACAATAAATGTTTTTTTTTTTCAAAGTCATGTTCTATTAATTCGTCCAGGTTTCAGTTCTGGACTGATATATAAATGTAATAGTCAAGTAATAGCTAATTCATTATTTTCAGACATGCCTCCTGATAACCCCAATCTCCTTTCTATAAGATTACTAGCCAGTAAAGTACTGTTTGCTTTAAGTGTAAATTTTTTTAATGCAGTTTTCAATCGAATCTCCTCAAAATTACAAGAATTGGCCTCATGTCCAGATGAAAATCCAGACTCTAGTGATATAGAATTGATACAACACATAAATGTTGATGTGTCAAGACTGATTCGATTGTTTTTGGAAGCTATATCAAAGTTTAGGTTATTAAAAAAATCAGCGCATCTAGTGTTGGTTAATTCTCTGGAGAAGGCTGTGTGGAATTGGATGGAAACATATCCATATGAATTTGCGGAGTTGCAGAAGAACCCGAATGAGGAGATGTCAAAATGTGCCGAGCAACTTTTTGATATTTTGGATGCATTCGGTGACAATAAGAAAGGCAGGTCTTCTGTTTGGTCTTTGCAGATGATGCTACTAGTACTGGCCCCTGTAAGTTATCACAAATTACTCTATTCATCTTCAAGCATGATCCGGAGAATTGAGGAAAGAAAATTATTTTAAAAAACTGTTCACAACGAGAGCATATTTTTTATTTATTCCTAAACCCTAATTACGTTGATGACTTGATTCCTAACTTAGAGCAGCATCACATCCAATATTTTATATTTATCTTATTACTTGACACCCATTATTCTTTTTGAAACATGTATAGAAAGTCATTGTTGCCACATTCTTTTTTTTTTCTTTTTTTTTCCTTATTCGGACTTACGCCCATATCTTCGTAGTTGCCTTAGAAGAATAGAATTTCTTGCTGAAATGGACTATAACATAACACGTCAACTCTTGCTACAAGGATTTCAGGATGTGGAAAATTTTCAATATCTCCTACTTTCTACAATGTAAATGAGTTTTTGGACAGGAATAGCCTAGTCAATTTTCAAATAATTTTATATTGCATATTTTATTTAACCCTCGTTTATTTGACTCACTGTTTTTGTGAATGTGCTAAAATTACTATATTGTATTGTTCTAATATTTTATGTATCTATTTGAGGATGTTTTATTCCAATTCATTTCAATTTTATATAGGTATGAACACCTTTATAATTTTATAATTTATGGATCAATAAAATTTCCATTCTATTCTAATGGTTCATTTTGTTTTGATTACATTTGTAGCCATTTTTTTCAGTTATAAAGTCTTATAATGAAGAAATATGAACAAGGTACTCCACCCTATTTTGATGAAATTAATAAATATGCAATTTCCAGACTGTTCTTGAAGAAATCGTGAATGCAGATACTGGAGCCCCTTGCTCACCAAGGCACATCAAAAAAAAGTTGTTCATAGATAACATAAAGAGGTGTATCGGACCACACAGTAACAACAAGCAGCTAACAGAGGCAGCTGCTATAACTTGCGTCAAATTGTGCAAAGCATCCACGTATATCAATATTCTTGATTCTAATAATGTAGCTTTCATACTAGTCCAAAGTATAATCAACGATCTGAAGGTGAGTGACATAAATGAAAAAATAAATGGACACATTCACGGTGTTTTTTTTTTAAATTTTTTTCATTTTCATGTAGACAGGTGAACCCTCAAAAATTGAATAAATTGATTGTTCTTGCAGAAAAAAAGCCACTCAACATAATTAATTGTACAGACCAGAAGTCTCTATTTAGTCTGCAGCACATTGAGTACAGATAATGTGGATTCAAAATGGCATTCTTGTAAAAAATGAGGAAATTTAAATCTGATTGACTGATTTTACTCATTCTAGTGTCGTTTTCGGATAATTATATATCCTTGAGACGAATGGTATCATTTGACAGTTCATTGGTGCTCTTTGTTCTGGCTTTAAGGAGGCAATATTGAATTCTTCACCTTATTAGATTCGATTCTTTGTTTGAGAACAAAAATCATTTCAGGTCATTTCATGTAGATTCTCAATTTTGTTATGAATTTAAAACAATATTTTTCACTTCCTGAAGGTAATTTGAAACAAAAACTATTGTTCTGATTTTATTTATATATCATATTTTTTGGTTTGTCCAAGAAAAAATCTGTTTCAATAATTGGACACATTGTTGAAACATTAAAAATGGCGTCCATGAAGCCAGAACAAAGGCTATATGAACAGGCTGATGATACCAATCAACAGGGATATCAAATGATTTAAGAACAAATGTCAATATTTTTTTTCGTATTTTTTTTAATGGCCGCTTGTTAAATTGACCAATTATATTAAAATATAATTGGTCTTATAGTGAAATTGATTATTATTTTCATGTATGACATGACATGAGTGTTAATGAAATATGTTCAGTCAAAACTTTAAAAATAAAGTGGAGCTCCCAATTCATAATCATCAGTCTTTCCGCCTTTATTGATCAATGAGGTTGCAGGAGCTATACCCTGTATACTAAAATGAATGATAGCATATTGCGTTCGTTTTTATTATTAATTTCTTATCGATCTTTATTCTGATTTATATATAATTAGTTTTTTCATTCCATTAGAAGTTAATAGAGGTATAGATATCAATTTACTAGTTGTTCTTTCATTCATACTGTGATCAAAAACGACCGATTTTTATCTATCACAAAATGATATTGATGCCTTTCAACTCATGAATATATTGAGCTTTTTCGAAGGTTTTATGAAGTCATAGAAAAAGTATAGTATACAGAGTCTCTATATCGAGAATAAGTGGGAAGAAATACATGAGAATATGCATGCTTATATTTTAGAATACGCTCTCTTCATTTAAAATAATTTCAGCAATGCATTGTTGCCGCTTCTTTCAAAAAGTAGCAACAACTTTGTTATTTCAAATAGAGTACCCCTGTTTTTCATTGCATTTTTAGATTGTTCCTGAGGAGCTGATTTCATCGATACATCAAACTTAGCGTCTATCGGAAATGATTACAGAGATATGGGGTGTTTGAAATCGAGATTTTTCAACTAAGATTTGTTTGTGTCGGAACTATTCATTATCGGCCGAAACGGCTCACATATCCCTATCTCTACTTTTGATTTACTATTTACTGATATTTAACCGGAACAGATACAGGGTGATCGGAATTCTGAATCTTGAACTACCCTGTATCTGTTCCGATAAAATATCAGTAAATAGTAGTTGAATAGTTTCGACACAAAAAAAAATCAAAGTTGAAAAATCTCGATTTTGAACACCCTATACCTGTGTAATCATTCTCGTTAGACCCCAAGTGTGATATATCGATAAAATCGATCGAGAATATAAAAATACGAGAAAATACAGGTTGTTCCATTTGAAATATCAATGTTTCTACTACTTTCTAGTAGAAGCGGCAACACTGCATCGTCGAAGATATTCGTAATGAAGAAAGCGTATTCTGAAATATAAGCTTGCACTTTTTCATTGTTTTATCCCGTTTTCTCCCGATTGATTCTTGATATAAAGATAGTGTACGCTCGTCGTGACATACCCTGTATAGTATGACACTCGTTAATGAACTTCTAAGCACTCCGATATGCCACGAACGTGCTTCAACTTCCTGGTTTATAAAACTGATACGATATAATTCTCATTATGGTTCTTATGTTGAAGCCTACAACAAAAATAAGTGCAACTATAATTAGAATGAATAATATTGAAATACAAATTACTGTTACCACATATGGGGTTCCGCACCGAAACGCTGAGGCTCTTACTCACTTAGGTACTATTCAAGTCGAGCTATTCGTCAGCGAAATTTTTTGATATCTTTGGATCATCGCAGGAAAGTTGAAAATACAAATCCAAATCCCTATCCACCACAAATGTTCACGAATAATAGATGGGCAAAACTCAAGTCTCGCATTGACCAACTGAAGAGCGGAAGTAACAAAGGGGCTAAGTGCCATAATTTCCTAAATCCAGATACACAGGCTTGTAAGTGCCATGAGTAAAATGCTTGAAAAGAAGAAATACATTGAGAATTCGCAGTCTCCATGTGATGAAAATATTAATTATTTCTCGGTTTATTGAAATAAAAGGAATATGCTTCCTACAACAATAATTCGATGAAGCCACCGGTAAGCTACAACGGTTATTTGCCATCAAAGGTAGCAAGTGCCAGAATGAATCAGCTGTATTGTCGAATTATTAGTCACGCTTGTCCGTAGTAGCTTTCCAAATTGTTAGCGACTAGCCAGATGCCGGACGCCCTGTACCATTAGAAGCACAGAGCTACAGTTAGTGGTTACATAAGGTTTAGTCACCTATCTACAGATGACTGTATCCGATCAGGAGGCATAAGGTTGATTCATTCTTATTTGAAGCGTTGTAGAGAATACATTGTGTTGAGTTTTAATAAAGGTGGAAGGTTTCAGAGGGACTGACACTGTTCTGTCAACCCTATACGGAGCAGTGCTAATAAAATGTATGTTGATCGTGAAAATATATGAATAATTACTCAATTTGGGGAAGTTGTTGTACAATATGAGTTAACTGACCTAGAATTAACGTAGAAAATGTGGCAATATTTTGTGGCACTTACCCCGTTTCTTTTTTTCAATAAATAATTTTTTTTTCAGCTGTTCCATAACATATATCGGTGTAAGTTAAAATTGGTTTTCCAAAAACAAATATTGACATTTTCATTACTTTTTTCTTGAATATCTCGAAACTTTATTTTTGACACATAGCACCTTTGTTACTTTCACTCTTCTATTTGTCTCAACTTTATATCTTGATGCACGAACCTCAATATTTTACCTGGAATGTCAAAAATTTTGGATCCAATACCAAATTGATATTTGTTGAACAGTTGCTGAACAGATCATAATTCAATCTGATCAACTCTATAGAAGAATTTCAATAATTATCAGACAAATCATTGGTAATATAATTCACTTCATGGAACTATTTCAGGCTCTCTTGTTCAATCCAACAAAACCGTTCTCTCGAGGTCAGAACTCCCCGTACCATGACATGGACCAGATGATCGACTGTTTCGTCTCTGTTTTCCGAATAAAACCACACAACAATGAGGCCCTCAAAGTTTGCCTCAACCTCAATTCTTCCATCACTTATCACTACGTCTTAGTCAAATCACTGTACCAAATCGTCACACAACCTAGGCTGCATTGGTGGCCGCAGATCGATCTGGTTTACAGCAAATCATCGGAATTGAGAGCTATGTTCACTGATACTTTGAACAAAGTATTCCAGGGTTGTAGCGCACATACACCCCTGAGAATGATCCAGATGACTCTCAAAGGAAAGGACTGTCCAGGGAAATCCAAAGAGCGCGCAGAAGAGGTACCTGCGTCGCGAAATTTATTGTTATATATGGTTAGGTTGGTTCATGCCGATCCTATGTTGATGCTGAACAACCAAGGCAAAGCGGGACATGAGATACAGAGCTCAACGTTAGAACTCATCAATGGCTTGGTCTCACTAGTACATCAGTCGACGGTCCCAGAAGTTGCACAAGAGGCCATGGAGGCTCTTTTGGTTCTCCACCATCCTGAGAAGATTGAAATGTGGAACCCAGAAGCTCCAATAAACACGTTCTGGGATGTCAGCTCTCAAGTTCTTTTTTCTATCTCGCAAAAACTTATTCAACATCAGATCTTGAATTATACAGATATATTGAGGTGGCTCAAAGAAATTTTGATCTGCAGAAATGCGTTTTTGTCGAAGCATAAGGAGTATGCGAATTTGGGAAGTTCAATAGCAATTTGTAAGCAGGCTCATATAAAATTGGAGGTAAGTTGTTTTCTTGTCATCTGAGCTATTCAATCCATCCTCATATTTTATTTGTTGCTGAGAACAAAATTCAAGTATTTGACAAGCAGTTGGACACCTTGAGCCTATAGACCTTTTATGGAATTATATTTAAGGTGGTGTTTTATATGTATCTATGGAGTATAGATATGGACGCGGTTTTAATAGCAATGAGCTGCTTTTCCCTACTATGTCAAGAAGCTGAAATACGATGTGGTTCAGATGAAGTTACCGTAACATATTTGGTTCCAAACTATCATGTCTTTCAAGAACTAGCTCAGGCATCGACAGTTCTCACGACAGGTTAGTGGTTTAAATTTTATGGTTATTTGAATACAATGTTTTTTTCTTACATGCAGCTTCTGGAGAAACAAGGCTTTGTTTCCCAGATCATGTGAATGGTGAGTTATTCATTTTCCATATTCACACTTATTTGTATCTTTTTTTTGGTTATGTCATGAGTGAAGTATAGTGTGATTTCTACTGTATGAATTATTGATATTTATTGCAGTCTAATTTCAAATTAATGTATCGTCTGTTCATAACTAAGGAGTACTACAGGGATTCAGTAAATCAACTATATAAGTTCTTTTGCTAAGCTATCGAAAAATGTAGTCGGAGGCGCATTATTTGAATTATGTCCCCATTATCCTCATTCGTGTGAAAACAGTATTGGCAGTTTTATTCCATATTTGTTCAGGGATTTTCAATACGAATTCAATGATATTAAATTTGATGAGTACATGAGAGGACTACGAAGATACAAGCGACAACCTTCCAGTAAAAATTTTACAGGAATTATGTTCATCTTGTATATTCAGAATAGGATTAAAAAATGCGCATTCGAAAATAAATCGACGTGTCTTCCACACTGTATGGATGTACAGGTTGGGAATAAAATTACTGGCACATAGGTAGGTTTTGCAAGCCGGTCAAACCGAACAAAATGAAGAAGAATGTGATGGATAATCGAGTATTCAGTTGGACGACTATTTTTTTCACCACAATATATTATAAATCATGAAAGGCAATGACTTATATGCGATGTAGACTTCGGAATATAATCAGGCAGGGCAAGACGTAAAGTCGAGTCAAAAATATCGAATACAGGAAGATCGCATTTTCATACTATGAGATATCATTTGTAATTATAGGTCGAGCAGCTTTACAAAAAAGGATCATGGCTCTTTTGAGAAAAATAGAGCATTGTGTCAATGGGGTACAGCCTGCTTGGGAGGAAACGCATATGAATTGGAATGGCTTGTGTAAAAACTTCAACACATATCCTAAAGTGAGAGCCGAAGACGGACAAATGGAGTCATTTCATAGGTCGGCTGGAAAAAGAAGAGCATCGCATCAAAATTCAGAACATGAGTTAGAGGTAAGTACCAATAATGAAATTCAATAATGTCTATTTCGTTTCCTGACAAATCGCCAAATCTAATCAAGTTGTTTGGAAATTGTTCGCTCTCATTTAAATATCCTAGTAGGCAACAACCCAGCAAACAATTTTGGTCCCTTATGCTGGCCAAAATTGGCCAGAACGGCAAAATTCTACTGAACATTGATGGGCCAGTAACAATAGGAGACTCTGGCCGTCATCAGGGCCAGGACATGTATGCCGATACATTCAAATTAAAAAAAAGACGACCGCCACGGGATTCGAACCCCGGTCCTCCGTTATCACTTGGTTTACAAATCGAACTTATTTCAACTGAACTACTACACCATTCTTGATAATATGATATGTGTGTACGGAATTCAATTGCGGTTAACTTCCCGAATAGGAATATCTCATCAATAATAATATTAATCATCATCATCATCATCATCATAACAGATATATACAAAAGATGAACAAGGAAAAACAACCGATTCTCCGACTGACTACCGAATTTCTGTCATACCTATTTTATGAAACAGACGACTTGCCAATTTTTTTATGGCCGAATTAGATAAGCTCTATGATAATATTTAAATGCAATGAATAAACATTAGTAGTAGTAGTAGTTGAGTTGGTATGTATATGTGTATATACCAACTGGCCATCGACGAGAAGTCAGCTCATGAGTGTTCTGTGTAGGCTTTGTTAATAACTCCATACGCCACCTTAGGAGCAGCACTGTTGATTGGAACTCAACAGTGAATCGTACGGCATCATCTCCGGCCGAGACTACGAAAATTATAATTATAACTCGTTTTATAAATAAAAATTCTCTGCTCTTCCGGGGATCCGAACCTAGCAATTTCGATGTTCTGATTACTAGTCGACCGCTTCAACCACTGCACTATCCTGCCGTCTTGTAAATCAGATTTGTCAGTTGAAACTGAAATATAATCATACTCTATACAGGGTAACTCACGGTCGATGGTACGTTAGACGTTTATGGAGAACGGGACATAGGATCATTCTGAAATTTTGGTTACTCACGTAGTTGCTCTTGGTCTATCGATCTAAAATATTATCAGCTCTGCAGCAATGCCGCTTCTATCGAAAAGTAGCAACAACTTTTTTATTTTAAATGGAACACCCTGTATTTTATTGCATTTTCAGATTCTCTCTGAAAAGCTGATTTCATCGATGCATCAGACTTGGGGTCTAGCGGAAATGATTACAGAGATATAGGGTGTGTAAAATCGACATTTTTCAACTTTTGGAACTTTTTTTGTCCAAACTATTCATTATTGGTCAAAACGGCTTACATGTCCCTATCTCAACTTTTGATTAACTATCTATTGATATTTAATTGGGACATGTAGTATATGTACTGGACAATTTAAATTAGCCGCCTAAATGTTATACGCGTATGTCATATATCCCCCCTACATATAAAATTACTATAGGTCACATATATGTACAAAAATGTACGAGCTACTACCACTTGTGATATGTTCTTCAAATAAACAAAATCGAATCACATTCTTGTTTAATTGAACCATCAGATAATAGTAAATTGTGGAATAATTTAGCAAGGACACTACAAATTGGCGACGAGGATATTTTTTAAGAAAAACCCAGAGCAGGGCAGGTTCTTTCAAGACAAAAAGTTGTGCCGGTTTCGTGAGTGAATCAGTGAATCATTTGCCACGTGAACCACATTTTCGCTATGGAAACTGGTTTTGGACATTTGAGAGAATTTTCATTGAGGAAATCAGACTGGTCAATCTTCAAGGCACGGTTAGAGAACTACTTCGTTGCAAATGGTATCAAAAGTAACGATGGTAATGAGCAAATGCGCGCAATACTACTAAACTCGTTGGACGAAGATGCATATCAGCTGATTTTTGACCTGGTGAGTCCACTGAAACCTGAACAAAAAAGCTACGACGATTTGGTGAAGCAGTTCAACGAACATTTTAAACCGCAGCACAGTGCGTTCGCGAGTCGATATATATTTTATACGGCAGTAAAAGAACCGTCAGAGACAGTCAACGAGTGGGCTGCAAGATTACGCGGTTTAGCCGTGGGATGTGAGTTTGGGGCGAACGAGCTAAAAATGTGCTTAAGGGACAGATTTATTTTCGGATTTGGTAAGGGACCTATTATGGACCGGCTGATGGAGGAAAGTATTGCATCGGACTTTGAAGATATGGTAAGGTTGGCAGCATCTAAGATGGCGGCCAAAAACGTGCAAGAGGTGATGATGGTGAAGCAGGAGCCGATCAACCATTTCAGACGTGGGGGCATGCGCAGATACCAAGGAGGCGCATCGTCGTCAGCACATGCAGGAGAAGGAGAACAACAGCTACGTCACCAGCCACGTCACCAGCCACGTCAGCATGGTGGGGAAACCAGCTCGTGCGAGGTTTGTGGCAGAACAAACCATCTAAAAGATAAGTGTTTTTATAAAAATTCAATCTGTATTCTTTGTAAAAAACCAGGACATCTTGCCGCAGTTTGTAAAAATAATAATAGTAATAATAAATTCAGAGGTAGTTATAGGCAAAACTTTATAGGGGAAGAAAATGATGAAGTGTCAGGAAATAGTGATGATATTTCTTTGTTTAATATTTTTGATAAGAAAAGAAATTTCAATGAACCTTTTACCGTAGAGCTCTTGGTAGAAGGTAAGCCCTTGGTTTTTCAAATTGATTCAGGAAGTGGTATTTCTTGTTTCTCTGATGAAATTTACTCACGACACTTCTTGTCTAAACCACTTCAACCAACAAATAAAAATTTCATCTTATATAATGGCGACCAGATTAGTCCTTTAGGTTTTCTGGATATGAAAGTGGGTTTTGAAGAAAAGGAAAATTATGTGAAATTCTTTGTTATCGAAAATGGGGGGCCACCAATAGTTGGTAGAGATTTTTTACAAATTTTCAAAATGGGTATCACATCAGTGCATTATATGAATAATGACTTGGAGGGTTTAGTTGGTGAATTCCCCGAAGTTTTTGCTCCAGGATTGGGTTATTTCAAGAAAGGCGTTGAAAAAATTAATCTGAAAAATCCTGATGTACCTCCAAAATTCATGAGAGCGCGACCTATTCCTTTTGCTATTAAAACTCAAGTAGAAGCAGAAATTAACCGTCTTTTACTTCTAGGTGTAATATCAGCAGTAAACTACAGTTCCTGGGCTACCCCTATCGTACCAGTTTTCAAGAAAAATGGAGACATTCGGATCTGTGGAGACTTCAAGGTTACAATAAATCCAGAAATTGAGGTAGACCAACATCCACTTCCTAGAATTGAAGAGCTTTTTTGCAAACTGCAAGGTGGAAGAGAGTTCTCCAAGTTAGATCTGTCTCAAGCCTTCCAGCAAATTGGAGTGGATGATCATAGCAAGGAACTTCTGACAATTTCCACACACTTAGGATTGTATAGGTATAATCGCTTAACTTTCGGGGTTTCATGTGCACCTGCTAAATTTCAAAAAATCATGGATTCCTTATTGAGTTCAGTACAGGGTGTTGTAGTTTTTCAGGACGATATTCTAATAACTGGTGAAGATAAATTTTCACACTTCAAAAATTTAAAGAAGGTTTTGAATATTTTGAAAGATGCTGGGTTGAAGGTAAATTTTGATAAATGTCAATTTTTTAGGAAGTCCGTGGAATATTTAGGCTTTGTAATAGATGAGGAAGGTTTGCATCCTTCAAAAAATAAAACTGTTGCTATAGATAGAAGCCCAAGGCCCAAAAATGTGAAGGAGTTGCAATCCTTCTTGGGTAGCATAAATTATTATGGTAGATTTGTAAAAAATATGTCCACAATTTTGAGTCCATTGTATAATTTGCTAAAAAATGACGTGAAATGGAATTGGAATGTACACTGTGACAATGCTTTTGATCGGGTTAAAGAGGTTTTGAAGTCAAATGAGGTCCTTGTGCATTTCAACCCACAGTGGGAACTAAGGCTAACTGTAGATGCCTCCTCTATAGGACTTGGGGCGATTTTGAGTCATAAGTTGCCCTCTGGCGAAGAAAAGCCCATAGCTTTTGCCTCTAGAACACTCTCCAAATCTGAGATAAATTATGCTCAGATTGAAAAAGAAGGTTTGGCCATTGTTTATGGAGTAATTAAATTCAATCAATACTTGTATGCCAATAATTTTACGTTAGTTACAGATCACAAACCTCTTTTAACAATTTTTGGAGAACATAAAGCAATTCCTCAGTTTGCTGCCAACAGATTGAGACGTTGGGCAGTCATTTTATCAGGATACAATTATAAAATTGAGTATGTACCAAGCAAAAAAAATGGTGCAGATTGGTTATCGCGTTTGTCAGTGAATGACAATAATGCGAATTCACTGAATGATGATAATTTGGATGTAGATTATTGCTATTTTTTTAATAACGATTCTGGATTCACATTTGATTTTGATTCAATAAGGAAGGCTACCTTAGCTGATCCTATTTTGAATAAGATAAAAAGTTTCATTCATAGGGGTTGGCCTAGAAAAACGAATGACCCTGTACTGAAACCATATTTTGTTAAAAGGCTTGAGTTTGATATAAGAAATGATTGTATAATGTGGAACCATAGAATAGTCATTCCAGATTCTTTGCAAGGAGAGGCTCTGAAGCAGTTACATAATACTCATTTAGGGGTGGTCAAAATGAAAAGTTTAGCACGTGGTTACTTGTGGTTTCCAAATCTAGATAAACAAATAGAAGAAACTGTTAAAAGTTGTAGAGCCTGTATTGTCCATTATAGTAGTAGCCCTAAAAGCGAAATTTCACCTTGGCCCTTGCCACAAGGTCCTTGGGAGAGGTTACATGTGGATTTTTGTGAAGTGAATAAAAAATCATATCTTGTAGTAGTCGATGCTTATACAAAGTGGCTAGAAATTTTCGAAATGTCCAGTATTACTTCCACTAAGACAGTTCAAGCTTTGAGATTTATATTTGCTAGATTTGGACTTCCACTTCTTATCGTATCGGACAATGGTAGGTCTTTTGTGTCCGAGGAATTTGAATTTTTTTTGTCAGAAAATAATATCAAACATGTAACTAGTCCACCTTATCATCCTGCTTCAAATGGAGCTGCGGAGAATTCTGTAAAAACCTTCAAGTTAGCTCTCAAAAAGGCTCTTTTGATGAATTCTAGCTCAGATACCAACTTAGTTATGTGTCGGTTTCTGTTAAATTACCGAAATACTCCACATATTACGACAGGGGTAAGCCCAGCTGTTTTGATGTTTGGTAGGACCTTAAGAAACCGGTTTTCGACTCTTTTACCCGAAAGAAACGGTTCAGATACTACTGACATAGTGCAACTGGAACCAATTGATGACCAAGTACGTGAAAGGGTCGAAAAACGGCAGAAACAACAAATAATAAATTCTAAGGGAAAAAATACAGTGAGTTTTGATGTAGGTGAAATAGTTTTAGTAAAAGACTACCGGAACAATGTAACCGAACCTTCATTTATTAAGGCTAAAATTGTAAAAAAAATTGGAAAACGTACTTACTTGGCTGAAGTACCAGAATTACAGAAGACATGGAAAAGACATTGTAACCAAATAAGAAAATCAGGCTTAGTAACGTCACATATTCCTGTTCTGAATTCTGATACTTCTGTGGTTGAGGAGGATATGGATAACGATGAAAATATATCTGCATCAGATAGGGAAAATAATGAAAGAAATATCGTCTCAGTGGAGCGGCCTAAACGATTAATTAAACCTATAGACAGGCTAATATATGCATGAAATGAAAATTGTGAATGTGTAGGTATAATATTAAGTATAATTTGGTGCGATTGTTAGTTCAATTATTATATTATAGTTTAGTTATATATTTTATAATATAAAATAGCATTTCATTGATTGCGATGGTGAAGTTTTTCTTTAAAGGGGAGGATATTGTAGTATATGTACTGGACAATTTAAATTAGCCGCCTAAATGTTATACGCGTATGTCATATATCCCCCCTACATATAAAATTACTATAGGTCACATATATGTACAAAAATGTACGAGCTACTACCACTTGTGATGTGTTCTTCAAATAAACAAAATCGAATCACATTCTTGTTTAATTGAACCATCAGATAATAGTAAATTGTGGAATAATTTAGCAAGGACACTACAGGACATATACCGGGTGATCAAGATTCAGAATTCTGCACGACCCTGTATTTGTTTCAATTAAATGTCAGTAGATAGTTGATCAAAAGTTGAGATAGGGACATGTGAGCCGTTTTGACCAATAATGAATAGTTTCGACAAAATCCTGAAGTTGAAAAATGTCGATTTTTCACACCCTATATCTCTGTAATCATTTCCGCTAGACCCCAAGTGTGATACATCGATGAAATCAGCTCTTCAGGGAGAATCTGAAAATGCAATAAAATACAGGGTGTTCCATTTAAAATAACAAAGTTGTTGCTACTTTTCGATAGAAGCGGCAACGCTGCAGAGCTGAAAATATTTTAGATCGTTAGACCAAGAGCAACTACGTGAGTAACCAAAATTTCAGAATGATCCTATGTCTCGTTCTCCATAAACGTCTAACGTACCATCGACCGTGAGTTACCCTGTATATGGTACGGTGCCGGCTAGATTATATTTAAACGATTTCAATATGCCATATGATGGGTAAATGCTTGTATGACGTAGGTAAAAACATAATAAGAATTGACACTACTGGCCCAGTGCCGGCTGAATTATAGGCAAACGGTTACAATATGCCATACAATGGGCCGACGTTTGTCCAGTGCAGCTTGGCCATGTCCAGCAATCTGCCGATCTATCATGTACTGGGTCAGAAGGCGACCAGAGATTTGATGTTTGCTGGGAACGCTCAAGCTGGATGCTCGTTTTATCTAATGGAGAGAACAAATATTTTATTCGTCACTGTAATTTTTCACCAACTTTTGGATTCAATTTTCATTTAGTACTCACAAAGTTGATGTTGCAGAACATTTTTTTCACTATTTCACTGTCTGTTTTAGGACAAACCGCCAAATCTAATCAAGTTGTTTGGAAATTGTTCGCTCTCATTAAAATTATCCGAGTAGGCAACAACACTCAAATTGGATGCTCATTTTTTCTAATAGGGGTAAAAATATTAGATTCATCACTATAATTTTTCACCACCATTTGGATTTCATTTTTCTCTTTTAGTACCCACCAAGTTGATGTTGCAGAAAAATGTTTCACTATTTCACTGTCTATATAACTCATACACTGAGCGCTTATTTGTTCCCTACAATGAAATATTCCGAATACAAAATAAAATGAATCAGTATAGGTGAAAACCAGAAATTGGGTGAATAAACAGGACAATTGTCTCCTGTGATGAACAACATAAATACCGCTGTGATTGGATAATTTGATTCCAAAAAGTTATTCATGTGCTGCGTATAAATAGTCCCAGTTCATATCCAATCAAATAACATTTATATGACAGAACCAGTTTATAACATGTTTGAGGCGGTATTTCGACTATGAATATGAATTGCGATTTTACTGACTTCCTACGACTGCATCAGTAACAAAGACTGTTCCTGTCTGATGATTTCTCTTTTTCCTTTTCTGTTCTGGGGAAAGGAGCAAATAACGGAATGGGCGAACATGACTGGTTTCCTATGTGCTCTCGGTGGGGTATGCCTGCAAAGAAATTCCCCATCTAAACCTACGTTATCAGCAAGCTCGCATTCCAGCTTGTCGACAATGACAATAAACTCGATAGGAAGTAGTAGCTTGTCAAACGATCAAAGTAGTACTAGTTGTAGCAGGAAGTCGAATACTCTCCAGAGTCAGCATAACCCACAGGATCAAAGGCAGTACTGCCCTGTGACAGCGTAAGTGAAATTCAATAAAATATCGATTTTATTGTCTCCAGATATATATTCACTTCATCTCAGTTCATCAATCAAGCAACAAGAGAATCCATTTTCTGCCAACACCAAAAATTTGTGAAATTTTGTCAGTGGTAAAATCGTTTCTTTGCCCATTTTAGGTTTGTGGAAGGGCTGTTGCATTTACTTGTATGCAACAATGAAAAATTCGGTGCACAAATCCAAAAACACGTTAAAGAACTCATAGGCCACGAAATGTCTTCAGCACTGTACCCCATATTATTCGAACAAATCAAATCCATAGTGGACAAGTTCTTCGATCAACAAGGCCAAGTCGTAGTGAACGACTTGAACACTCAATTCATCGAACACATTATTTTCATTATGAAAAATATCTTAGACTGTACCAAAAATGACCAGCCTTCAGAACACTTGGGGGTGACCAGTATCGAAGGAATGATGTTAGCTATAGTTAGATACGTGAGACATCTGGATATGACAGTTCACGCCATTCACATCAAGACAAAGTTGTGTCAGCTAGTGGAATCCATGATGAATAGAAGAGACGACCTGGCGTTTAGGCAAGAAATGAAGTTCAGAAATAAACTCGTCGAATATCTTTCAGACTGGGTTATGGGCACCTCCCATCAAATCGCCCCTCCTAGTTCAGGTGACGTCACAATGATCACCAGAGATTTAGATCAGGCTTGTATGGAGGCCGTGGCAGCTCTTCTAAGAGGTTTGCCTTTGCAACCTGAGGAATCCGATAGAGGAGATCTCATGGAAGCCAAGAGTCAGCTTTTCCTCAAGTATTTCACTCTGTTTATCAACTTGTTGGGCGATTGCTCGGAAGCTGCTGAAGTGGAAAAAGATTTGGGTAAACAGAAGGTTTACGCTGGGAAATTGAATACTTTGAGGAATGCCACTATTCAAGCTATGAGTAATTTGCTGTCTGCTAATATTGATAGTGGACTGATGCACTCTATATGTAAGTGAATTTTTATGATTGAATTTGAATGTGTAAAATACTGTTGGATGTTGTTCTCTGTGACATAACATTATTATGTTTTTAATTAAATTAATATACGACGCCTTGTATGATATTTTGTGATTTTTTGGTTTGAGTGAACTGGATACTTTTATACATTATTTTACAATAAGTGTAGACAAAACACTATTTTTTATATTTGATTAACATGCTATCTTGAAAACTGTTTGTTTTAACGTTTTATATACGTTATTTTCTCAAAGTTATGCTAGTAATCACGTTTTGATTTTTCATATCAGTTCCTAATTAGTCAGCTTACTTGTTCAGTTCATTTGCATTTCCTTGGATCAATCTAAAACATGTATTATTATACAAAACCAACACAGTCGAGAGGAAATAATCATATTATAATTATACTGGATGGGTCAGAATAAAACCAACACGCGTGGTGAAATGTCTCTGAACCTTCACATTAAAACATGTGAAATACATTCAGGTTTAGCGTCAATGAACCTAACTGATGACATAATCTAATTTTTACCTACAACCGTCAAAATATATATAGAGGAGAATGATGAAAGAGAATAATTACGAAAATTGGAAATGAAAATAATTAGATTGTTTGAACTACTTCATCATGTAAAGTTAGAGTGTTTCGCTTAATTATGTTTCTTCCATACTTTTGACACCCTGGTCTCAGGCAGGATGCGTTTTAGGTCATAAGATTAAAAGAACTTGTTACCTACCTACCTACCTACCTACCTACCTACCTACCTACCTTCCTCAAATGACAGAAAACTAAAAACGTAGTTTTACCGGTCTTATTTTGACTCATCCCATATTTGTTGAAGATATGTTTGTGTGTTTTATTGATTCCCTTATAAACAGTATGCCATTAAATGAGCTATATTATTTCAGGCTTAGGTTATAATAAAGATCTACAAACGAGGGCTGCTTTTATGGAAGTACTGACGAAGATATTACAGCAAGGCACAGAATTCGACACGTTAGCCGAAACTGTCCTTGCCGATCGTTTCGAGCAACTAGTACAACTGGTCACTATGATCAGCGACAAAGGAGAGTTACCAATAGCTGTAGCACTCGCAAACGTTGTAACGACATCACAAATGGACGAGTTGGCTAGAGTGTTTGTGACCTTATTCGACGCCAAACACTTGCTGTCCCCTCTACTCTGGAACATGTTTTATCGCGAAGTAGAAGTTTCAGATTGCATGCAGACACTTTTTCGCGGCAACTCCCTCGGAAGCAAGATAATGGCTTTCTGCTTCAAAATATACGGTGCCAGTTATTTACAAACACTTCTAGAACCATTGATAAGTCCTCTGTTAGACGACCCGTCTCACAGCTTTGAAGTGGACCCTGCGAGGCTAGAACCAAATGAGGACATCGAGGAAAACAGACAGAATTTAATCGCTTTGACTCAGAAGGTGTTTGATGCTATTGTTAATTCAGCAGACAAGTTTCCTCCTCAGCTTAGATCTATGTGTCATTGTCTCTATCAAGTTCTGAGCAAGAGATTCCCGCAGTTTCCTCAGAATAATATCGGAGCTGTCGGAACTGTGATATTTTTACGCTTTATTAATCCTGCCATCGTTTCACCCCAAGAGATGGGTATCGTATCTAAGCCTGTGCCGAATTCTGTCAAACGAGGACTCATGCTGATGTCAAAGATATTACAGAACATCGCCAATCATGTGGAGTTCAGTAAGGAACAGCATATGTTACCGTTCAATGATTTTCTGAGAGCGCATTTCGAAATTGGTAGAAGATTTTTCATTCAGATTGCTTCCGATTGTGAAACTGTCGATCAGACTGCTCATTCCATGTCATTTATATCAGATGCGAATGTTTTGGCGCTCCACCGTTTATTGTGGAATCATCAAGAGAAAATTGGAGATTACCTTTCGAGCAGTAGAGACCATAAAGCAGTTGGTCGGAGACCATTCGATAAAATGGCCACTTTGTTAGCTTATTTGGGGCCTCCAGAACACAAACCAGTTGATTCTCAGTAAGTTATTCATCTTATAGACTCAAATACATTCAATTTTTCAGGGAACAATTATGAACACAATTCATTAGATATGAGAGTGGTATTTATTTCTTTTTTAGAATCAAGAGTAATTGCTATTAAGATTTGTCATTTCTCCAATGCTGTTTCATGATCATATAGTTTTTTTTTTTATTTTTTGAACACTTATAGGTCAAAAGGTAGGTAGTTCCTCACTAGACATCAGGCAACAATTTTCTCTGATCAGTTCATAGATCCACCATGTGGTTATGAGAGAGAATAACTATAGACTACAAGTTACGATACATTGCATTCGCAAGAGTATCTGTCGTGTTTCCACGTTTCCTTTGTCTCGAAGAAATATTTGACAAATCAATATTAGTACACAATAAGCTGTTCGAGGGTCATTTTTTCCACGAGGAAGAATAGATTCATGCCATAAATTACCGAGGGCACTGATGAAGGATAAATATTCGTGATACTTGTAAAGAGGGTCGTCATCTGAAGATTCCAAAGTGAAGATATCCTGCAAACAGAAAATTTTTATGTTTCGATTTCTTCTGACCGGTTTGAAAAATGAAAAATCATAGTTTAGATTCCAACAATTTGACTTATTGCTAAGTTGCGTCAGAATTTAAGGATGAGGCAAAAAATTGTGCAGTTGCCAGACATCAAAGTGCCTACTCATATATTCAAAGTTCAGAATTTTTGAGAATATAGAAAACATTAATTCTTATTTATTGATTTCCTTAGGTATACCAAAATTTCAGTGTGCCTCATTTCGTTCCAATTTTATAATACTTGTCATGATCTTAGAAATAAATCCGTATCAAGTATTTATAAAGATCCGGTATGGCACTATGATTCTTGTACAAAATATTGTGAAATACAATTCATTGTAATTATCTATCTTGATTGCCATTGTCGCTATCTTAAGCACATATAAACCTTGCAATGGTGTTCGCTTTAATAATATTTTGGGCTTTCAATTCACACTTTTTTCTAGTTCAGACATTTCTTTCAGAATAAAAATAAACTGATCATAATACCTAAGGTATATGGTGTGGTAGTGCGACTATGAAGTGTTGTATAACGTCTTAATCATCCAAATATGACCGGGAAATGATACAGTATCAGAGGATTAGTCAGTATCTGCTTGATCACATGGGTGACAGGGTTAGAATTATATTATAAACGTATGGATTTTGTTCAGGGATATTTTAGGTTTCTCAATATAGTTTTCACTAATTGTTAAAATAAAATTCTATTTTTGAAAAAGTTTGAACTGAATAACTAATAGTGGAATTTCTGCGCTTACTCGGTAAATGCATTTCATTTTCAATATTTTATAGGTATTGAATGAATATTAAAGGATTCATCTTTCAGTATGTTGTTCTCGTCTTATGCAAGATGGAGTTCCATAGATATGTCATCAACTAATTTTGAAGAAATCATGGTGAAACACAATATGCACGAGAAAGAAGAATTCAAATCCATAAAATCACTGAACATATTCTACCAGGCAGGTACAAGCAAATCTGGGTATCCTGTATTCTACTATATTGCAAGGAGATACAAGTAAATATTTTGTTATTACACTCCTAAAATTAGTATCATTCCATACTTCAAAATGTTTGCTTCATCGAAATAATTGAAACTATCTCATGTTAGTTTTCGTATATTTTCCAGAATTGGTGAAACGAATGGCGATCTCCTCATCTACCATGTTATTCTAACCCTAAAACCGTTCTGCCATTCTCCTTTTGAACTAGTCATCGATTTCACCCACACCTGCTCTGATAACAGGTTCCGAACAGAGTTCCTTCAGAAATGGTTTTATGTCCTACCCGAAGTAGCTTATGTCAACATACACGCTGCTTATGTTTATAATTGCAATAGTTGGGTGAGAGAGTACACAAAATTCCATGACCGAATTTTAGCTCCTCTGAAGGTAAGATGTGTCAATTAGATAGCTATATATGGAGAAGGGTAGTCTCAATGACTAGTCGAGGTAAAATACCAAAAATTCCGGAAAACTTTGTTTCCTCTTGAGAGTGCAATCACAATTTTTGACCTTCAATGAGAGAAGTGTTGTCGGTTTCTCTCGTCGATTTACACAACGCGCAAGCAGAAATCAAGAATAAATGGAAGTAGAGAAAATTGAACTTCATGAGCCGCATCAACTAAAACTCAATGACTGTGAGAGTTTGTTCATACAAAATGTGTTTTTTCCTGTACCAAATCGTCCCCAGTATAAAATTCCCTGGGAAGAACGGAAAATTCGAATTCTTGTAAATGCTTGAACTGAGATAAGAAATGCTCTCTTTTGTTACTTCCAGTTAATCAATAATTATCCATCTCCACTCGAGTCAGCTTCAATGAATATGCATGCATAATATCCGATGATTTGAGGTTATGAGATCCGCACTCTGGGCCAAGCACGGTTCTGAAAATTCGAACTCTTGGCGAGCATCGGGCCAATATGCAAGCCAATGAAAATCAATTGTCGACATCGGTTCGCTCGTGAAATTTTCAGTGGACCTTGAAGAACGTGCTCAGTGCGGAAAAGTTCGAGCTAGTGGGACGAGTGGAAACCGCTATTTGATAATTATTAGTCCAGCTTTCGGAAATATTCATTTACTTCAGATATTATTTGAAGATTGTATTGAGAAAAAACGCATCCAACAAACAGAGGTGACAACATGAGATTTGTAATAAAATATATGGAATACATGAGGGAAGCATCCAATGCCTAACTTCTTGCTAAACACATACGATACTAAACTAGAAAACACCGGTAGTTGTTTTTTCGAGATCATTACAGTAACTGACTATCTCAAATGTTGGCATTTATTCCAGTAGTGATTTCTTATCATCATATGTTTGTCAGTAGCAACCGAATATGTAGAACATTTTTTTTATTTTGGCACCCTACTCAGAAACCAAACAACATACCTTCATACAACATTTCTTTATAAAATGTAAGAAGGAGTCATCAGATAACGCTTCTTCCTTGAATTCGAACAGGATGAATAAAAGATATGTAGCTTTATATTGTGATAATTTAATTTGGAAGTGTAGACACCAATTTTGTATTCGTGAACTAAACATAAACATACTGTCAGTCGAATTATTCGCTGTAGTCATTTATGAAACAAATGAATAACTGAATATTGGTTTCAGGGAAACCGTAAGATTATATTCATCGATATGCCCAACAAACTCAATGAATTTATTGAACCAGAGCAACAGAAACTACCAGGAGCTACTCTCAGTCTCGACGAAGACTTGAAAGTATTCGGAAACGCTCTAAAATTATCGCACAAAGATACCAAAGTGGCAATAAAAGTCGGCCCAACTGCCATTCAGATAACCTCATCCGAGAAAACCAAAGTCCTTTCTCATTCCGTACTGCTTAATGATGTATATTATGCTTCAGAAATTGAAGAAGTATGTTTAGTTGATGATAACCAATTTACCTTAACCATAGCAAACGAAAGTGGTCCCCTTAGCTTTATTCATAATGACTGTGATAGTATCGTACAAGCTATTGTTCATATAAGGAACCGATGGGAGCTCAGTCAACCTGTGAGTATCCAGTGATATCAAATAATGTTTATGAGTACTTGGTGCAAGCAAGACCTCATCGTTCTCTCTTCTTAAAAAAAAATTATAATTTGACTCAATTTTTATAGGATTCCGTAACGGTTCACCAAAAAATTAGACCAAAGGATGTCCCTGGCACTCTTCTAAATATGGCTCTACTAAATTTAGGCTCTTCGGATCCTAATTTGAGGACAGCAGCTTATAATCAACTCTGTGCCCTAACTGCAACTTTCGATTTGAAAATCGAGGGACAATTATTGGAAACTCAGGGACTGTGCATTCCTTCTAATAACACCATATTCATAAAATCTGTATCAGAAAAACTAGCAACGAACGAACCACACCTAACTCTGGAGTTTCTCGAAGAATGCATACAAGGATTCAGGGATTCTAGTATAGAACTGAAACATTTATGTTTAGAATATATGACGCCATGGTTGCCTAATCTTGTTAGGTGAGTTTTGAATTCACCCAGTCGTGTTTTCAGTCTCTAAAACGATAAATTTCTTGAATATCCTTATATATGATCAGCTGAAACTTGGACCCAACAAAATATCAGAATCTAAATTCAATGTTGATTCAACATTGCTATAGGGGTGTCACAGGATCATGATACATACCCTTTTTTTCCTTTAGTTTTAGAGATAAGATATGTTTTGACATGAATATGTTTTATTTTCAATTTCCGGTTTTACCGAAAGTGGAAATTAGTTTTGATTCCCAAATGGAACACCCTGTATTTTAATTTTCTGAATCCAATGATACCACATAAGTGAAATTTCAAACTTCGATTTTGATTTTAATTTCATTTTTTATTTTCCATCTTCGAGTGCCATGATTACTGTCATCGAGTCTGATATACTCATATCGACAGGTATGATGCTAAAACACTCAATCCTGTCAAAAATGTCAAATGTCTTGATTCATCACATTAATTTAATCGAAATGGTTTGATGTCCCACGATCCTGTTACACCCAGTGTAGGAATTCGAGTACAGGATTTTTTTACGTAATATGGGCTATGCTCTCATTTAGAAACAAAAAAAATATACCCTATACAAAAACTTAATGATGATAGCATATTATGGATAATATACATTGGAAAAATTTACCCTTTATATGATTGTATCGGAAATTAATTTGATAATAATTGAATTAAATTGAGGATTTTGTGTAGAAATATAACTCACTACGACTTCAATTAGGATTCTAGTAAAATTGTAATTTTTCAATAAAAGAGTCCTCTGTTTATCATCGGCCGTATATGAAATTTCGAATTTTCTTCGGAGAATTCATGATTTTGTACTGAAAACTGCACTTTGAAAAGTTGATAATGAAAGGTTTCATAAAGCTCTGAAGTGTGACTAATTTTTGAAAAGATCTTGAATAAGTCTAGAAATAGAGATTGAAGACCCCTATTATTATCAGGTATCCCTCGTCTAAAAATGGTGATATTTTCAAATTCTCTACAATCTAGGTTAATTGTAAGAGTAGCCCTAGGCTAAATTTTTGCCCATTTTGTAAGAAAATAAATACGTTCATCATTCCAGATTTTTTGGGATTTTCTCTCCTCGTTTCTATAAAATAAAAATATGAATATTATTTCAATATACGTGTAGTAAGGACAAATCAGATGCTTTACCCCAATATGTCACTGTGTTTAAAGAATTTTCCATTCAGAGAGCCTAAAAGAAAAATTCACTAGCTTGTCAGTGACAAATTGTATTGAAAAAAGTTTTACTTAGCTTTGGACGTTTCGGGAACGAATCTGCTCCCGGTTTCAACATAGAAAATGGATTTTTGGAATCGCAAATTCGTATTTGTCCTGACGCTTTTCAGTTCTCAGTGAAAGAACGTTCTCGAACGATCTTGTTTCATGTTTTTTCATTGAACCGGTCAAAGTGTGCCGTGCAAATTGACGAGCAATCTTATGGCATTTTGCCTGATCTTTCTGAATCTGATGAAATTCTTCGAGAAAAGTGATCACACATTGAACTTTTTTGACATAACAAGTAAACATGAATTTTTACCAAGTCCTGCTCTAGTTTTTTTTTCTAATATACCATCTTTTGAATGGTTTCAGTAGAGAAACATCGCTGCTAAGTTTCAGGAAATTACTATGAATCATTTCTGAAGTATGGGCCATCAAAGTTAAATGGCAAATTCACATAATACCCTGTATCTTCATTATGGAGGGTCAAACAAACTTTTCATATATATACATATATCAACTCGTCTTGATTTCACCTATTCACCGTTTGTCTATGTAAGTCTCTTCATGAAGCACCCTGTGTAACGAAATATATTTTCTGCCTCCATCAGTTTCTCAAATAAGAGGATCGCCCATATTATTTGACACTTTTGGCAGTGGTTCAATACACTTGAAATAGTTTGGTATTTTCTTCCCTAATTATACCTATATCTTTCTTCTATATCCATTCGAATGTTTTGTTCAAGATTTTGTAAAGCACCTGAAGAGAACAAAAGACAGAAACAGGTTGCAGGGATTATAGAAAAATTGATATTGCTAACAATAGAAGAAGTCCAGATGTACCCCTCTATCCAAGCTAAAATTTGGGGTTCTATCGGGCAGGTTCCCGAACTGATCGACATGGTGCTAGATAACTTCATTCATAGATCCGTTAACTCGGGCCTAGGCTCGCCGATGGTGGAAATAATGGCTGACACAGCTGTAGCTCTAGCATCTGCCAATGTTCCTTTGGTGGCCAAGAAGATAATTGGCCGGTTATGCAGGGTAATTAAAAAAGTACGCGTACTAACGAATTTTGGCATAAGCATTGATGAACATGTAAATATATATAATACGGTTAGAAATCAAATATCCCAATAACTGATGATGATTTGTTTATTCACGAAAAATATTTATAACAGTTTAAGTTAATTATCTTCTGCTTGGCTTCATTGTAAAGCGCCAAAATCAGGTGCTGTCCTTTCCAGTTTCAGGAACCTATAATAGTTCCACCTAATTTTCTTTTTTGGTTGAGCATTGAATGCTGCTTTATCTGTTATTCCTATTTTTTGTTCCTGTTCATAGGATAAAGAAGTCAACAAGCAACTGATGATTTCCCCGTTGATTACACATTTTACATTTTATCGTCTACCTCATAGTTCAACGTGTGCTAGATCATTATTTGCTTTGCTCAGCTTGTTTTCTACTACATTTGCTTCAGCAATGGAAGATCAGGTTAGTTGTGGTTATTCTGATTACAAATTCTACCGATTGTTTTCTATCATTTAGTACAATATTCAGTAGACTCACCGATGCCGAAACGTAGTGGCATCGAACACAATTCCAAAAGAATTTATAAGTAATAAAATATTCGTCAAGATAGAATCACTCTATTTTTTGAAATTAAATTATACCGGTGTGTATATTTTAGTTTGGTTGGCCAGCAAATTGTCAAAGTGTGAAATTTTTAAATCTTATAGGGTTTTGTTGAATGCTATCTTAAAAACTTTCTCATGTTATACGGCTGGAAATACCTCTGCATAATTGACGTGATTATTTCAGCGAGAGATGACGATACAGGGTAGAACAAAAGTCCTGAAACGGTCAAATATCTCCATTGCTGCCACATTCTCCGTTTTTCTGAAACTCACATCAACTTCCTCATTCCTGAGTGAAGCTGATAATGTTACAATAATGGCTATGCTATGACATTTTCGAATCGACTTTGCTCAACTCTGTATATTATGTTATAAATTTTATTTTTGAACTAGCAAAGTCTCTTTTTAAAAAACAATTTATTTGTCAAAGTACAAAAGCAGAGCGAATTTTATGAGATGTTTATCGTACAAAGTTATAAGTCTGACTGAATGTTGGAATGAACAAATGCAACAAGATGATTTTGAAGAGTCAGCGAAATCTAAGAGGTCCCTGGGAACGTCGGTGCAGAATCTTCAGTTCTTAGGAAGCTTATGGGAACCGGTGATATAATTCCTCCCCTCGAAGTTTCAACTTATGCAGTGGAGCGAGGAAGTTGAACCTCTGCCAAATTTATCCCTTGGTTTTGGTCGTTGGAGTTCTTGATTCGTCGGATGATATTCAGATTTCTGATGATGAAATATGTAATACCAGTTGCTACGAGGATATACAGGATGATGGTCCAAATAGAGGGAAGATGAGATATGTTGGTATTCTGTAGATCTGGCTGGTTTTCGATGATTTTCTTCGTTATAAGGTGAAGATCGTCCAAATTTGTTTCTTCTAGGTGGATGGTCCAATTTTGTTTCCTCTCGAGGCTTTGATTCAGTTGTGGGAAGAGAATCAATTGACGTTGACTCATTGATTCCTCTTCATTGGCGATTTGTTCGGTGTTGGTTATAACTTGACATCCAACAGGAATTTCTACGAGGTATGAACCAAGTAATCGTAGGAATTCTTCTTGTTTTCGGCACTTCAGACTGACCATCTCTTCATGTGGAAATACGGCTATCCATTGTTTGGATTCCAGTTGTCTAATGATAGGCTTTGAAATTCTGACCGGGACTTGTTGACAGTTTGAAGGGTGTTTCTTATCGAGAAGTTGGATTTCGCATGGGCCATCTGGTTCGACTTCTGACAAGTCGATTTTCTTGCATATGAAGTAGTTAGGGACGATTTTGGTACAAAGATCACCAAAAAATGCGAAGTACAGATCACTCTTCAAGAGAAATCTATCGTTTGGTAAAATGGTCTTGAACTCATTCAGACTCGGTACAGGTATTGAATATAATTGATAATAATTGAATTTTTCTGAATATGTTATAGGTAAATGTAAAAGGTATGTAATTTTGTTATTTTTTATGTAGCATTCGATATCTATTATTTTTTCTATCAACAAAATATTGTCTGGAGTAATTTCGAACGGAAATTGATCTTTATTGATCGAGTTTTTGAGTTTTGAAAGCTCGTTGTAGAGATCTGAGATTCTTATAATGCTGGGGTGCATAGTGTTTAATTTGGAAAAAGTCATTGAATTCTCAATATCTTGCAAAAGGGAGTTGATTACTTCGTATACATTTATCATATGGTTCAAGAGGTCTTTGACTACCAAACTGTGACTCAGGTTTTGACTAAGTCCTATGTATAGGGCAATTTGATAAATTTTAGATTCTAATTCCTTTTCGTTGTGGGTGATTTTTCGAATTGTGTCGTTGAATTTGTGTATAATATCGGTAGAAATAGTGTTTTGTTTGACAATGTTGCTTGCTAATCTGTTTTGATTTCCTTGAATATCTTTTATCATCTGTTCATAGCGTTCGCCGTCGCTAGCGTCTAAATTCCCAGAAACTGCTTTGAAAAATGATCCAAGGCCGTTTATTAAACCTCTCTTGTTGCGTTTTGGCTGTGGAATTATTTCTTGTAATCTAATCTCGGCTCTTTCTTTCGTAAGAGTTAGAATTCTCAAATGCTCTGAAGCATCGTTTGAATAATTTTTATTGACACTGAGACTCTCCAGCAATTTTCCATATTGTTTATCGAGTTTTTCTATTTCGTCTACTATGGGGTTCAAGTCGAAAAAATGTATGAAGGTATGCATGTACTCTTGCACTTTGGCTGTTCCTAACTTAACAGGTAAAAGTCCAGGGTTGGTTTCCAAGTTTTTTATTTGGATCGTTTCCTGGTATCCCATCACGAGTGGGAATCTGAAATATTATTAATAACTACTTAATCAAAACTATATGTATTTCTTAAGGGACGTTTCAAATTATCCATATGGGCTTTAGCTTGGGACGTGGTCGCGACTGTTTTACGGTTGATATCTACTTTCTGAATTTGGGTAGGTTTATGAAATTTATTTGCGTCTTTCTGCCTGATGAACTTTTTCAAATATGTTTTATCAGCTTGTTTGAATAAATTTGGGTTATCACGGGTTTCGTTTAATTTTGAGATTATTTTTTCTTTATTATCCCTGAGGCTTTGATTGATTAGTGAATACATGATTTTTGTTTTTTCTTTATGATTATTGACGTAGTCATTAACTAAGATGCGGTCGATATTTATATCAAAAGGGTTTTCATTACTGATATGACCGTTTACGACGTCTATGGGTTTGAATTTAGTAGCCGAATGTATCGAGTGATTATAAGCCAAAATTGCGTATGTCATTTTCAAATTTATTGGAGATTTATCAAATCCTTGTGTATTCAACAACCTTATATGTTCAATTAACGTGGAATGTAGTCTCTCTATAACACCGTTAGACTGGGGGTGATTTGGTGAGCAAAAATGAAGTTTTATTTTATGGAGGGCCAAGAGCTCGGTTATTACGGTATTTTTAAATTCTGTCCCATTGTCTACAGTTATTTGTTTTGGTACACCGTGGTGTGAAAAGAAGGTAATTAGGTTATTGGTTATTTCAGTTGAACTCAAAGTTTGTAATTTATAGGCTTGGGCGTATTTTGAAAAAGTGTCTATGATTGTTAAGAATTTGGTTTTTTCTAAAGTAAAGGTATCTAAGTGGATTATTTCGAACGGTTCAGAAGCTGTTGGAGTAATATTCATTTGCATTTTGATTGGTTTCCTCTCGTATTTGCTTTCTTGGCAAATCTCGCAATCATTAATGTATGTTTGAATTGATTTTTTAAGATCTGGCCAGTAATATTTAGTTTTTATTCGATTTTCCGTTTCGTCTATGCCACGATGGTTCGTTTTACTCTCGTGGTAGTTTTTAATTATTTCTAAAACATCGTCCTTATTGGTGACATCTATTAATTTAGTATTACAGCGTTTTAACTTTAGTGAAGGCCATATAAAATTTCGTCTGACAACTTCCGAGAATTTTTCATACATATTTGGTTCGTTAAAATACAGGTGGTACTGAACTTTTGGCACAACATAATTTTTCATGAAATTAACGACATCCTGTTCGAATTGATTTTCTGAAATTTGAACTTCAATCCTTTGTTTTTTCTCGAACAAAATGGTACGTTTTACCTTGGCTGGTGAATGTAATACAGAAAAGAATATTATTTGATTTTGACCATGGTTGACAGGGGATTCGGAAATAGGAATATCAACTATAGGATTTTGTTCGAAGTTTGTATGAACAGTGACGTCATCGTCATGGTTTTCTTCTAATATATTTTCGCTTATTTCTTCATCTGGTTGAACTTGCATGGATATATTATCGATTTCAGGGTTAGGATTTAGGTTATTATTAGAGGGTTCGCCGAAAATTTCATTCAAGCCTGGATCTGGAAGATTTTGTGCTTGCGTACTGATTAGGTTCTCGATTATATTACCAACATTCTCGGTTTCTTTTGTATGAATTTCAATCCTAGATAGAGCGTCTGCGTTAGAGTTCAGTTTGCCTTTCTTATAAGTAATACTATAATCAAATTCATCTAGTTTAATGCGCCATCTTAATAGTTTCGAATTAGGATCCTTTAGAGAAAAAAGCCACTGGAGTGGTTTGTGATCAGTGATGATATTAAAATGTCTTCCGTACAGGTACGGCCTGAAGTATTTGGTCGCCCATACGATAGCTAACAGTTCTTTTTCTATCGTACTGTAATTTCGTTCAGAGTCGTTCAGGGTACGTGAGGCGTACGCCACTGGCTTATCGACTCCTGAATGTTCTTGAGAAAGAACTGCGCCTAGCGCGACATTACTGGCATCGGTGGTTAAGTTAAATTTCTTGGAAAAATCTGGGTATTGCAAGATTGGTTCATTTATTAGTAGATTTTTGCAAGTTTCAAAACATTCGGTGAATTCAGAATCATGTACGATTTGTGCACCTTTTTTAAGGCACTTCGTCAATG